AAAATTTACTGTGAATTAATATAAAGTTATTGTGAATTAATATACAGTTACTGTGAATTAATATAAACAGTTACTGTAAATTAATATAAAAATTTACTGTGAATTAATATAAAGTTATTGTGAATTAATATAAAGTTACTGTGAATTAATATAAACAGTTACTGTGAATTAATATAAACAGGTACTGTGAATTAATATAAACAGTTACTGTGAATTAATATAAACAGTTACTGTGAATTAATATAAACAGTTACTGTGAATTAATATAAACAGTTACTGTGAATTGTATCTTGTATTGTTTTAAAGGTGGTGGGAGAACTTCCTATGATGAGACTGAACTGATAAATGTGAAGAGTGGCTCCAGTTTTGCTGCCTTCATCCTGACTGAAGGTTCAGATACTCTGAGTTGACTCAATGAACTAAATGAACTAAATGAACTCAATGAACTCAATGAAGTCAATGAACTGCAGTCTGGAGCTAAAAACGGACTTTCTTCATCCTAAGTCAGTTAATGGAGAGTTTTACCTGTTCACCATCTGTCTGCTTCCTCTTCCTGACTTTGTCCAGGTGAGTGCTTTTCTCCACGTTGTTTAGATAAAAGTTAGTTTCCCTCTTGGCCTGAGAAACTTCAGCTCGGAGTCGCTGCTGAAGCACGGTCTGCTCGTAGGCCAGCCTCTCGCTCAGGTGAGTCCACTGGAACCTGTGCAGGTACTTCACAGAAACACACCACAGGTTATCTTCTCCTGACCAACACATGAACTGAAATGAATTAAAATCATTAAAACTATTTAAACCTCAGGCTGGTGCTTTAAAAAGACTCTGCTGAATGTTTTTCTGAGTCTCACATCAGTTCAATTCACTTCAATTTATTGATCCCAAACATAAATTACATCTAATAACAATCAATTCTTCACAAATCAATCAGGATTGAAACAGATCAGATAAAGGAACCTGACCTAACACAGATCAGAAGTAGGGTTGGGTATTTAAAGGGTTTAATTTGATACTTTCAAAACGGTACCGCTTCCTAAACGGTATTTAAATCAGTACTTTAAATATAAATAAATAAATAAAACACACACACACACAAAGGTTTATGAAGCAATGATTATTTCTGAGTCAAAGTCAAACTTTAAATTGACCAACTTATTAACTTTAAACCATTAATAATTTGTCTTTGTACCAAATATTCTTAAATCATTTGTTGTAGGTGGAAGGTTGGGTTAGGTTTGTCTTAATCCAGATTAAATCATATCTGTTGTGTTGGAACAATTAGCTCACATCATGACACTGATGTGTGACACACAAATGTCTGCTTTAATCTCTGCTCAGACTAACATCCTTCACATGAACGCCACATAGAGCAGCCATGTTGGATTACTGTTACCCTAATCCTAACCATGTTGGATTACTGTTACCCTAATCCTAACCATGTTGGATTACTGTTACCCTAACCATGTTGGATTACTGTTACCCTAATCCTAACCATGTTGGATTACTGTTACCCTAATCCTAACCATGTTGGATTACTGTTACCCTAATCCTAACCATGTTGGATTACTGTTACCCTAATCCTAACCATGTTGGATTACTGTTACCCTAACCATGTTGGATTACTGTTACCCTAACCATGTTGGATTACTGTTACCCTAACCATGTTGGATTACTGTTACCCTAACCATGTTGGATTACTG